CCAGGGAGCTTTTTGAGGGGTCCCCCCCCCCCCGGGAAAAAAATCCCCCCCCCAGCTCTTTTTAGGTATCCCCCCAACCCTCGGTGCATTGGGTTGCCCGGTTTTCCAGGGGTGTTTGGAAAAGGCTATCCCCTTCTCCCTATTTTTTTCAAGGTTTTTTTCCCCCGTCCTTTTCGGGGAAAGGGGGGGGGGGGTACCCCCCAAAATTTCCCCCTTTTTTTTTTGTTTCCCTTTTGGCCCCCTAAACCCCGGGGGAATAGGCGGGTTTTTTGTTTTTTTGTTTTTTTTTGGAAACACCCCCCCCCCCCCCCCCCCTCCCCTCCTTTCCGCGAACGTCTCCGATTTAACGGGCATGCCCTTCCTGACTTGCTGATGTGGCCGGCTTGACGCTACCATTGCTTCCCTTCCTTTCCGGGTTCGCTCTGCTTGTGGTGCGCGCCAATGTGATGGCGGTGACAATGGTGCTACTGCTTTTTTATGTACGTTTACGATGATAACGGCGGTGGCGGCGACGACGGTGGTAACCATCACATCGTCCAGGGTTCCTCTTGTCCGCGGCGGATAAGCAGCTTTCGCGCTCCAAGAAAGATCTGTGAGTGCCAAAAACGCACGTGAATTGGTTCGGAAGCACGAAAGCAGTGAACCCTCGTGTTCAATGCTGCGAGTTTTGCGTGTGGTCACAAGTCTCAAGCTGAGCAGAAGCTGTTTGTAGGCGTTCTTGTGCTAGTCCCTCCCCCCTCCGCACATGCTAGCCACTCCGTGCCACCATCACGCACAGAGTCGGAGGCGAGAGAACCAGTAGTGGATGCCTGAAGAGGAGGGCGCTTTTTTCTTTAATCATAGCCAATGTTTCGTGACCAATCGACGGCGACGTAGGGCGGACACAATACGTACCATAAGATTACCCAATCAATGAACCACCCGATGAGGACTTCTGTATCAAATCATATCAATGTTGGATGAAATGGACGTGTTGCTATCCAACCAAGTGACGGCGATTTCTAAAGTAGAAAAAGCGGTACAATTTTCTTTCGGTATCGACCGCGACGTTGTTGTTCAACCATCAATAGTCAGCACCCACGAAACAGCAGCTATCAACGATGAAGCTCTCACCAATATTGCTGACACTTCCGTCGTCGTCAACCAATCAGGGTGCTCGACGGAAACGTGCTGAGCGTTGGACCCGCCCCGGAACCCGACGACATTATCTGGGAAAACCTCGAGTTCGGCTTTTGGAGGTGCGTCAGTTTCTCTTGGTTCACGGCGGCTTTTTCCGATTCGCGCGTAGCGGAGTTTCGAGGGCACACCAAACGTCGCACCATCCCTGTAGCCGCCTTTCGACGTTTATCGTGTCAATCCGCTTCCCGAGTGTCGAGCACTTCGGCTTCTGGGTCTGTTTTTAGTTGTGTTTGACAAGCTCATACACAGCCTAGTTTTTTTTTTTCTGGACCGCGGAAGCACACACACTCCATGTGCGCATACTTCATGCGCCGTACAGTACAACCTCGAGAACGGCTTTCAGTGGACGTGTGTGTGTGTGTTGTGTGTAATTTTACTTTAGTGGCTTACTTTTGCGTGTTGCGAGCATCAGGTGGCGCACGAGTGCCCACCTGGCGAACAAAACAACACCCGACAGTGCGGTGCTTCGTACCACCGTTCGGCGTCCATGTACCATCGCGAACACACCCACCGAGCACCTCCGTCCTTGCCGCGCGGTTAAAACGTACCGTATGCCCCAACCCCACCGCAGGAGGCTGTTCGAGTTTATCCGAGGAGGCGTGCTCGGAGCGGGGATCGTCTGCCTCGTGGCGCTGATCATCTACCTTCTGGCCGAGAGCGAGGCGACCGTGGCCGCCGCCTTCATCGCCATCAACAACGCCGTGCTGCCCAAGGTGATGATGGCCATCATGAAGAAGCCCGGCGGGGGCGAGCACCACCACACGCACTCCACCTACGAGGTATGTATGTATGTATGTATGTATGTATGTATGTATGTATGTATGTATGTATGTATGTATGTATGTATGTATGTATGTATGTATGTACTTCTACGGCGCATTGTTGAGTCAAAAGACGGAAAGAACTTGGAAAAGAGAGTTAACAGAGCGCCCGAAATTGGTGAAAGGGGAAGCTAAGGAAAACAGTGTCTGGTGGCTCCGCCTCTTCTTTGCCCCATCGGGGCATCGGTTTACGTTTCCGCCGTGGCCAGGGTCGGGTATTTAGTGTTGCGGGAATGTGCGCTTCGAAATGTTGTAGCATCTCTTGGGAATGTCAAGACCGTGGACGATGGCGGCGACGGTGGTGACTGGTCGCTCGTGGCGTGCGAGCGTACGTCGAAGTGGTTGTTAGCGCGCTTGGGTGGGCGGGAGGATTGCTACGACAGACTACATATTCCCCCATGTCTTGGTGCGTTCAGGGCAGTTCTTAGGGTCGGTCGCCGTTCGCGACATTTTTTTTGGGGTTCTTGTTGTTGAAGAATAGAAATGCGTGCACACGTGCTGTTTTTCATCGAGGTCAGGGGCATCAACTGCGCCGCACATACCGCAGGGGAGCACTGTTCGTACAGCAGCAAATGTCTTGACGTGCATTGCCGGCATCCGTGCTGTTTTATATAGCGCACAAGACGAATGCCAAGCGCGCATGCCCCGCGAAAACGCGCGCAGTAGCACGTCTGGCTGTTGGCTGGCCGCGAGGAAGGTGTAAAATCTGCAGGTGGTTTGTTGGCGCCCCCCTGCACGACGTGTAGCAATGCTTGGCGTTCGTTCTGTTGTCGTCGTGGCGCGAACAGGCGTCCCTGATGCTCAAGATCGTGCTGGCCCAGTGGATGAATACGGCCTTCATCATCTACTTCATCAACAGCATCTCCGAGGCACCCAACGAGGATTACATCAACCAGGTTAGGTTAGAGAGAAAAGTCGCTGTTGTTGGCTGTTGCATGTTACTGTTGGGCTCGTGGCGGTTTGCGTAGATGTCGGTTCGTCGTGTCTCCGTGGGTTCTATTAAATCGCCATTTTTACGTACGGACGTTGGCGTCACTTGCCTTGCTCGTCTTGGGGCGTCAGATTTAGTCTCTGGAGGCACGCGATGGGTGTCAGCGTGTGCGTGTTGCTGGTCTTCGCGGCGAGGTGTTTCGGTATGTGTGTGCCTTGTACGTCGGACTGCACCGCTGCTGTCGGGGCAAGGTGCCACACAGGCGCAACGTGTGTCCTTGCTCCTACGATACATGCGTCCATTTTGTTTCTAAACATCAGGGGGCACCCGAACTTCATCTTCGCACTCCCTTTTCTCCCCTTCGGTCAATTTGTTTTCGCCGTATCGTGCTGCTCGCTGTCTTATCCACTCAAATCACTTCAACGGGGTGTCGTCCACCCAAAGTCCGCGTAGCGATTGGTCTCGTCCAATCAAGTTGTTTTTTTATTTGTTTGTGGGCCACTCAAGTCACACCCGAACGCCGGCTCGAATGTGTCACCCCAACCGAATGATGGACAGATTTCCAAGATTTTGTGGGCAGACGCCTTCACCCAGCCCTTGGTCAAAGTGCTGGACCTACCCAACAGGTTCAAGCAGTACGTCCTCGCTCCGATGGCGAAGACCCAGGTTAGTTTTTGACCCCCGCGGCAGCAGCAATGCCGGGAGTCACGAGTTCGGGCGTGAGATAGCTTTCGAGATCAGCGGCATCGGCGGCAAGAATACGTGGATGTTCCTTGGGAATGTGCAGTTTCACGAAGTCTCCACTTGCGGTCGTTCGGGGTTTGTTGTTTTGAGGAAGCACGACAGTTGTGTTTTCCGTGGATGCAGCGCGAGCGACCCTTGAGGGTACGGTTTTGGGAGTGAGATGGTTCTCGAGATCAACGGCGGCGTCGAGAGTCTCGCAGCGACGTTGGTGGTCCTCGGGGACATGCACGTGGGCAGTAGCCTATCGAAAACTGACTGTTGTTTCGAGTAAAAAGGCTGTATGGTTAGATTTGTATTTTTTTTTCCTTTGTCGTTCGTTGGGGTTCGCTGGGCTCTTCGGAGTCGAAAACATGTGAGCTGTGTGAGCTGTTGAGCTTGGGAAGCGTCACACCGCCGGTAGCGGTCAGCTGTGAGTTGGTCCTGCTCCTTTCTTTTTTTCAGCTTTCATCACCCCTTGACGACACAGCAGTGGTCTATCTCATGAGACCACTGTGGAGGGATCACTGGTAAGCGCGACAGGTGTGTGTGTGTTTTTCCGTGGATGCAGCGCGACCGTTGGTCGTGACGCGGAATGTCCGGTCATTTGGCTCCTGTGTGTCGCGGTGAAACCAAAGCACTACTGCTGGTGGGTTCACGCTTCGACGATCAGCCTGTTGTTGTGTTCCCTTGGAATAATGAACCAAACACGTTTGACCCGTGGTGTGCGTGTGGTGTATGCATATTTACCGCGTGTTTTTTGCGCGGCCGTCCAGGCGAAGATGAACTCGTACTTCATGGGCTCGCACGTGGTGCTGGCAGAGCGCTACGCCAGCCTCCTCAAGACCATGTTCGTTTGTCTCTTCTACTCGGCAATCTTCCCGCAAGGCTACTTCGTGGCCTCCATGGCAATGTTCATGACTTACTGGGTGAGGATTGAGATATAGCCGCATCGGTGGCAGATGTATTGTCCATGTTGCAAGCCCGTACCTCTTGATAGATGGTATCCCTGTCGTTTAGTTTTCAACAACGACGATTGTGCGCACCCACATGACCACGAACATCCCCAGCGTTTTTTTAGTCATCTCTGTCCATGCCGTGCCGACTTGAAGGAGGTTTCGTACGTTGCGAATTTTTGCGAAGAAATCCGATTCACCGCACCGGAAGAGAACGAATTAACTAATACCGGTTTGTGTCGCCAACCCGCTCGTGTGTGTCACGACAGTCGAGCAAGTATTGCCTCTTCTACCGGTGGAAGAGATCACCCCCTATGAACGACTCGCTGGCGGTGTCTACGCGGCGCTACCTGGCCATCGCCTTGGTTATCCACGTCATGGTGTCGCTACAGTTCTATGCGGGGTGGCCGTTCGACGGCCTCTGCCCCACGGACGAGGTGGATGATAGTTGTTTGTTGTTTTTTTGTTGTTGTCGTTGTTGTTGGCTTGACATGGCGAGGTTCGCCCCAACGCCCCCGGGTACAAGCCTTAACGCCTGTTTTCCCGAAAACGCGGTTGAAGTGTACCATGGTGCTCTTGCGGTGCACATACATGCTTGGGACGAAGAATGTTCCGCCGGGAGTTCTGATTATTTCCATATTGTCTTTTTCCCCAGTCTAATTTGGAAACAGCAATGAGGTTTGCTGCTGCGATCAGCTGGAGGCTGCAACTTTGATTTTCCTCACGTATCCCCACCTCGCTTTTTGATTCTCCAGAGGCCACCGTGATACCTCTCTCATATTGTATTGTACAACTTGTCCCTGCCGGTCTCTCTTGGTCTCCCTCTCACTTGCGATTTACCGTTTCTGATTAACCGGTTGAACCATCGACGCGGGCAGGTGGTGCAGGTCAACTTCTGGGACGAAGCAAACGTAAACTTCACGATCGACGGCATGTTCAACGTTTCCACGTGAGCGACTATGTGCGGGTAGCGCCGTGGCAGGGTGGTTTGCATCGGTAATGGCGTGCGTCTAACCTTTTCGCCCATCCGTTTAGGCAGGATGTGGCCGCTTGCGTCTCTTGCGTGTAGGACAATATTTCCTGGGAGAGTTTGAACGATTCAGTCCCCCCCCCCACGACAACACGACACCTGTTTTTCCCATTTGTTTTTTTATTTCCCCCAAGTTATGTCGGTGCTTGATTTTCACTCCATGTTTGTTTGATTCGAATGTGCGTCCCTACTCTGCGTGGACAACGACAGCTTCCGAAAAGACTCTCTCAACCCTCACCCAAACCCTAACCCTAGTCCCCCCACCCCCCCACCCCAGTGTTTTGCCGTCAGTAGGTGACATGGTGTACGAGACGTGTGACCAGGACTCTTCGCTCGTTTGGGGCGAGGGCCCGCAAGAATGGATGCCGGACGATCAACTCATTATCGTCTTCATATTCAAGTAAGACTACTACAAGACACGTGAGATGAGATAGGATGGGAGGTTTCTCGTTGCTTTGCTTGTGATGTTTTCTCTGGCCGGAGGGGTGCCTACTGCTGTCGCGAGCGTCATGTCAAGTCTTTGTAAGTTGGGTGGGTAACAATAAAAGGAGGTCAATTCGTTTTGTCAAGAGCCTGCGTATTCGTCGCTGATGCATTGGTTCAAAAAAGCTTTGCAGTGTTGACAAAAAGCTTGCAGTGGTGATCAGTCATCCCACCCATCTCCGACGAGCTTGGCAGTGGTGATTTATCATCCCACCCACCTCCGATGTTTCCTCCCCCCCCCCCCCCCGGCTTTACGCTCTTCGCGAAACAGTTTGTTCGGATATGTTTGCACCGCGGCGGTGGCGATTATTTTGTTTGGAAAGACTGTTTTGGCCAGCCTCCGCCGTCTCTGCAAGGGAGTGTACAAGCCTGTGGGGCGGCATGCCAAGCCGGTTGGCTTCACGGAAGTCCAGCAGATTAACGCCTATGTACCGGGGGTGAGCGAAGCGAGAGAGAACTGTGTGGGAAGAGATACTGATGATAGGTTTATGTTTGACGTCCGTATGATACAACGAAACCAACAGCGAGAACGAAATCACGGGTGTACGAATGAGGTGCGAAGTTCGTCAACATAAACAGTTTGTCGACACATTCCAGAATGTTGGGAAGTCACAAATGCCTCATTCACTCAACAAGGAAGATAACCAGCAAAATATACCGTAGGTTGCGGAAGATATCACACACCCTCGGCCGATTTCCAAACCTTGATTACTCGGCAAGGAAAAAAAATGACGGTACCGAAAATCGCGGAATTAGAACCATCCCGTCGAGAGCTTTCGGAACACGTTTCGTTTGCCTTCGGTATCCTCTTGGTCGTGGAGTAATCGAGCTCCGAAAGTCGGTCCAGGGGGAGTGATATCTTGTGTTGTATACGGTATGTAACAGGAGAGACCGTGTTCAAACTGTTGGGCCGCGCAACGCCTCGCACACTTTTGTTGGAACGCGCACGATAACCCATGGACTATCTGCCCACGACAGGTCCCGTACAAGAAGAGCGTGCACCCCATCCTGGCGTGCGATATCGGGAACGTCGACGAACACCACATCAGGTGTGCAGGCAGCTAGCTACATAGTGCTGTCCCGTTGACGAGGACGTGGGCACAGATATGTGTCTTTCGTGTCTTCTCTGGGCAAAGTATGTATCTTGTTTGGTGCCTTCGGGTTATGAAGTGAATGCTGTCATTCCTTGTTTGTGTTGTTATCCGTTCGTCGGGTTGCGTACAGTACATGGTCGGCTTCGTTCGAGTCTACGTAGTTTTATTTTCCGTCCTCTTGTCCTGGTAAAATGCCACGGTCAAGTGTCACCCTGAGGGTTGGAGAAACCGCACACGAGTATAACTTTTTTTCTCGCTTCTGGCGTAAATGTTCGCAAGAATGCCGAGCCTGGTCTGGTTTTCACGACGTTGCTGAAGCGCCGTGGTTGGTTTCGTCTTTCTTCTTGCATATTCTGATGGGCAAGAAAGTTTGAGTACCGGTGTATACATCTATTCTTTTTGTGCTGTACATGCAGTTGCCAGCATTTGTGCTGATGTCAAAGCTTGCGATTGCCTACGCCTCATTCGCCAACCTGTCCCTGCGAAGACCGCCGCAAAAGCCCTACTGGTTGCTTGTCCCTCTTCGAAGAGGGTTTGCTTTTTGTTCCTCAAGAAAGCGCAAGCTGTGCGTGCCCCAACCTATAAAGAGCACCATCATCCCCATTACCATCGTGAACCAACACGCCGTATCCATGAACCCCGCTTCACAGCTGGACTGGAGACTACCAAGCCTACAACCTCTGCACCCCGGAAGCCTTCCCGGGAATCAGCAGAAAGATAAGGGCCAACCAGTTCGGCCGAGTGGTGTTCTACCCGCCCAATGCGGAGGAAGCCAAAGGGCTGCCCACGCCGACACGCATGCGAGGCATCCCCCTGGTGAGCCAAGCCGGAAAAGAAACCGCAAGTAAATTTAGAAGGAGGGCGTTTCGTTTTTCCGCCGATAGATAGCGTGGGTTGGGCGCTTGTAGTGGGGGTTTGTATGTGTAGACGCATCGATCAACCGACCGGCCAAACACGACGGGCGACCAAAAAAGAAAGGAACAAATTCTCGTTTCCTGCCTCGAACTTGGAAAGTTTTTTTTCAGTCCGTAACCACGAGGAAGCGCCCCCAGACGAAAGTCCGCCCGCAAAAAATTACGCACGCGCCCGAAATACTTCCTGCTGCTGGCCATCCATCCATCGTTCGCGGACAGGATAAATCTGGGGAGCGGTTGAAATTGGCAATGTCTTCCGAAGTTGCGCCGTACGGCGCCACAGAGCGGGCTGCCCGGGGGGACACCTCGGGGACCCGCCCCCGTACCGAAAACGCCTCTGATGAAACAAGCATGCTGTTGTAACGCGTGCGCTCTCGAGCACCACGACAACGACGGCGTCGGCGTCGGCGGTGACTAGCGGGCGGCGTGGATTCCGGGACGAGTTTTTCGGCGGCGGCCGGGCCCGCTCCCGCGCTTGGCGCGAGCGAGTGTTTTTTCCTCCCTGTAGTATTAAAAATCCTTCATTTGACACTGTGTTCTGCGTGCTGGCGCTGTCGTTGCTGACTCGTCACCTTCATGCCCCCCCCCCCCCACCCCTCCACCCTCGACCTCTTGGTGTAATGAGAGCGGAATCCCGAGCCAACAGGAGATGGAAACAAAGATAGGAATGGAGAACAAAAAAAAAAAAAGATTCCTACCGCCGTGACGAAATGGGCGTGGTAAAAGGAAGATGGTGAAGATCGGAACCCAACGAACGGAATCGGAGGCTGGTTTTGTTGCTGCCTGCTTGGAGTACGGTCGGTCGGTCTATCTGATCTGATCTGTACAATCTGCTGGCGAGAGAGAGGCCCCCCCTCCCCCCCTCTCGTAAATGCAATTGTCACCGCGGATTACTCTGTGCGAATCACAGTTCGGGTCGTGGCTCTTGTGGGTAGATGCCAGAGTGCAAGATGAGTTATCATGTGTGCGCACGATGTTCATGGCTCTATTGATGCAGTTTAGGTGTTTTTGGGCCATAGACCGCACAGCGAAATGTTGATGGTACATTATTGTGTAGATAACTTGTGCTGCTTCTGGCCCTGTCTGTCTCTCGTTTTTTAGTCTGTTGCCGTTCGTTCGAGGGGGTTCGTGGCGTGTGCTCGATGTTTGGGTTATAGGTTCGACTTAGCTGATGGTGTAGCCTATTGGTTGTTCGTATTGACGGTTACTTGTTCGGCCTTGTGAAGCGTCAATTACTGCCGGAAGGCACGGCGAAGAGGGTGTGCCTGTATGTTCCGCCCCCTTTCTCCCCCGCTCGAGGATCTCGTTTCATCGCACGATATCACGACCGTTGAAAAGCAATGACCAATGAAATCAATGCCATGACACACGGGGCAACAGCACGGGCAAAATAGACGTCCTTGCGAGCGTCACGAACAGAGAAGAGACCAGCCTAGCGGGCCGTTGCCGTACAATTTGACTGGGGCACGAGGCGGCGTCTGTTGTACCCGGAGAAAGTTCTCCGACACGAGGAAGGGCTTTCGGTTTACGATTTCCTTTCGGTACTGCGCTCTGCACATCACCCCCAACGGATCGGGTGCAGAAACGGCTGATTAATTATGAAAAGTTGTACGTTGTTTCATTTACGTTTTTAGGGGCAGGGGGAGATATGTCTCTACGTCCATTGGTCCTTGGTGGAATAATCAAGGAGGAAAATTGGAAATTTAGGCGTGGAAAAAGGTAGATTTAGCTGTTGTTGATGGCGGGGTGGTACCCTTATCCCTCTCTCTAGTGTTTTGTATGATGGTTTCGAGGAAGAGACGGTCTTCCGGTCCTTTTTGATTCACAAAGGCTTCAGCCTGCGGAGTCGTTGCGTTGGCATTTGTGAGGTAGCTTTGGATTAGCGGTCCATCGCTAGCCAAACGGTGCTTGATGGTAGTCACGCAGTGTCGTCTTTATTGTTTTTAGAGCTCGCAGTTTTCATTTCGGGAAGTTCTTGAATATACACCATTTTTTTAATGTATTTCGGAGGAGCTCACGTCACGCCAGTTCAGTAGAGTTACTGTAGGTAATAATATCTATCATGTTCTTGTCCCTGCCGTTCCCGTACTGTTTGTTTTCGGCGTCGGCAGCGTACAACCGCGTATCGCTGCCGTAAGGCTTGCGCGAGGGCGCGAGAGAAGCCTCGTTGTTGGCCTCGTCTAGGCAGGGCCATTTCATCGACGTCACCGCACATCAACTGGCTTGTGACCGTCTTCTTGTGCCCAATGCAAAGTATGGAGCTTGAGGCCAGGGCTATGTTATCACGGTCTGACTTGATTCTTTCATTTGCTAAAGCAGGGCATCAAAGACGCGGGTCGGCAGTAGGCGTATGCCGGAAAGCCGGGAAGTTACCGTGGCTTACTGGCATGGGTCAGGGCGCGCGAACACCAAGCATTGCCATTATGATATTTTTTGCATGAACGATACTCTTCTCGGGCATGACTACTGTGACCGTGCCGTTTGTACCACACGTGTTGTGCGTGTGCATTGATTGGGCTTTGACAATTGCTTGTGTACCTTGTACTGGGTTTACTGTAGCTCGTCACGACGAGAATTTGTTCGTTCGTCTGGGAGACTACCACGGAGTGGCTGAACTAGAGCGCCGACGGGTTTTGAATGCGAAGACAAGACAAGGGTGATTGGCGGTAGCACAAGCCTTCCTTTTCCAGCTAACCGAAAATTCCCGAAATTTTCGCACCGCGAAAAAATCTTCCTTTCGTTGTAGCCGAAACCCCTTCCGGACGAGTACACAAAGGAATCCAAGGTTTAGTTTATTTTTTTAGTGCAGCGCGTTGTGCCGTGTGCAGTTCTGGAATTCGGGGCGGCGTGTTGAGTCCACACAGTGAAGACCCCGTACAGCCCGCCATGCCTTCGAGCATCACCTTTCATTCTTTCGAGGATGCCATCGCTGTCGTTTAGACATATTCTCCACTTGTCACCCGTTCTTGGAAACAAACGTACCGTGGGGGCGGGTGAGCGAAAGGTCTTGATTGACTTGCTTGGTCTTTCCCACGAGCGACACGGTACAAGAACGGCTCGACCTGCTTCAGTGTGAGGGAGACAAGCGGCAGCGAGGGCGAACGAGGGGGGTCTGCCGCTGCGTCGCTCATCGCCGATGAGACGAGCGAGCCACAACGACCGGCGAGAGCTGCTGCCGTACTTCTTCGCTCTAGAGAACAGGTTGAAGCGACGCCCCCGGTAGTAGCGAACGAGCCGGCTTCGGCTAAAGAGAAAACGAGCTGCACACACGTGCAAGTGCTACCGGAGTCACCGCCGGAACGACGACTGATAGGATTTTCACCTCAAGCCGAAGAAGAGCTTCGTGCGAGCCAAGAACTGAACACGCGGAAGTGCCACCGAGCGTCGTCGGACAGAACGATAGTCTAGTTCATGGCTGATGCGATTTTACCGCGAGCCGAAAAAAAGCTTCGTGCGAGCTATCATAGCAATAGCGGTGTCACGGGCTCCAGCTTCTCTATACCCCAGGTTTCTTGCCTACCATCAGTTTTTTCTTGCGTGCGCTTTCTTTCGCCAAAGGCAGGCAGGCAGGCAGGCAGGCAGGCAGGCAGGCAGGCAAGAAAAGAAGAAGCTATCGTAACTACCTACGAGCCGTCTCTGCCTTGGATTGTTGTTGTTGTTGTTGTTGTTGTTGTTGTTGTTGTTGTTGTTGTCTTCACAGTATGGATTGTTGACATGCCGTTGTAGCCACTAGATCTTTTCCATGACAACTTATCCCTGCGTAGAACGCATTGATTGACCTTCGCGAGGGAAAGTCAACTCCAAAAAGTGATGAAATGATGTCTTGAGATAACTGTTGCACGAACTCGTGAGGGTAGAGGCGGCACTTGGGTTTTCGGTAGACTGATCGACATTCAACCAACAACCGGATTTTCAGCAGGGGGAGGGTGTTTGAGTTGCCTGACTGGTTTCGCGGGCCCTGTTGAGCACAACGCTGAAGCTCGACGGGTTCTTTTTCTCGTGCCCAGCTATCCGCCCCTGCAATACATTCATCGCTGACCTCGGTTTTTTTCAACGCTTCTCTCACAAGCATGACTTTGCCGTCGAGGCTCGGAGCGTTCTCGCCATCTCGAAAGTGTTTCATCACGAACAAACATTCAGCCCACGCGTGTCTCGCGGGGCCTATAGCGGGTGGGGTTGCGCCAGAAAACACACTTGGAGGCAAGCACTCCCCTCGGCGTTCCCATCTCTCGCGCCACTCGTGCCAAAGCAACGTGGCCGTGGCCGCCTTTGCGCGCACCGACCACGGCAGCCGGTGCACACAGGTTCTGGTTGGCGCGAATCTTTTTTCGTTACATTGTTATCCTCCATTGACCTCTCGGGTTCGCTTCCTTGCCGGCAAACACCTTTCTCCATATGTACAGACTGAAAATGCTCAAAGAAAGACTTCTCGAAATCCATCGGCACCCGCATGTATTGCCCGCGCACAAACAACCGCCCAGGAACGCCTCGGAGCTACGTCTCACGAGCCATGGCTCCCGCCTAAACCCTTCAACCCGATCCTGCACCAAATCAACTAGATCCCTGAAGCCTTCAAGGCCTTTCTGCGTGAAAGACTTGCTTTGAACGGGCCATCTTCCGGGTATTAAACGCCTTGCCATTCTCTTGCAAGAACCTAATCAAAGCAAATATCGATTTCTGATTGCTTTTGAAAGCCGTGTAAAGATGAACACGGTACTGTGCGCCTTTGGCTCTGGCCCGTTGGAATCCTCCACCAACCGCGTCCACTGTCTTCTGAATTCCGCCGCGTTCAGCCTGGATGGTTTCCCGAGGCACCTGTTGATTGAGTTGTCGATCGCGGGCAGGGTTGAGCGTGATTCTACTTTCTCAAAGTAACACACACGTCACGATTTCAGGGAGACTTCAACACTACACAATCAATTATGTTGCAAGACCAATTTCACTCGTTAACCCTCTGCTGTCTGCCTTTGCTTTCGTCAAACGGATGCCGAAGCACACACGTCCCGATTTCAGGAGAACCACGGCAAACGCCGCCCCAACACACACGCTGTCTTGGGTATCAAGACCGATTTCATGCCTTGACCCTCTACAATCTGCCTTTGATTTGAACAACCACCCACACAAGCAAACACGTCCCGATTTCAGGGCAACAAAACCCCTTCAAAAATGTTATTACCCACCCCTTTCTGCATGAAGACAAATCTCACGCCCTCACCCTCTGCTACATGACTTTCACTTCAACAAAGAGCGCAGGAGCACTCCCGTCCCGATTTTAGAGGAACCACTTCAACTCCGCCTAGCACACACCCTTTTTGTCTACATGGGGATTGAATTCAACAGAGGCAGAACACAAACCTCCCGATGCTAGTGGAAAGAGTTCTAAACTGACCCACACACATACCCTCCTTTTTCTTGAAGATCGATTTTACGTCTTCACCCTCTGCAACCTGCTTTTGACTTCACAGTCACAACAGTAACCGTCAATACCCCGATTTCAAGGGAACGACTTCAACGCCGCTCCAACATACCAGCTTCCTCCGCTAGGCAACCGATTTCATGCCTTCACCCGAACCCTCTGCAATCTGCCTTCCATTTCAACAACCAGATGATGTTCAAAACACACTCGTCCCGACTTTGGGGGAGCGACTTCAAGTGTGCTCAACCACACCCTCTCTTCTCTTCGAAGACCGATTTCACGTCTTCATACTTTGCAATCTGCGCTTTATTTTAGTCGACAGACAAAGTTTGCGAACGATATTATTACCCCGTCACATTCCTTCTCTTCTGCTTGAAGACCGATTTCATGCCTTCATCGTCTGCAGAAGCACACACGTCCCGATTTCAGGGGAACGACTTCAATGCTGCTCCAACACACACCCTCTAGTTTTGCCTGAAGACCGATTTTGTGGCTTCACCCTATGCAATTTGCCTTTGATTTCAACCAACAGCACAAAGCACAAACGTCCCGATTTCAGCGAAACGGTTTCAACACTGCCCAAAACACACCCTCTCTTCTCGTCGAAGACCGATTTCACCCCTTCACCCTCTGCGATCTGCCTACGTTTCAAAAAGCGAACAGAGCTTGCACGCCCCGGTTTCGGGGATCGAGTTCAACACTGCCCCAACACACAACCTTTTCTGCATCAAGACCGACTTCACGCCTTCACCTATCACTACGAACAGACATGTCCCGCTTCCTCTGACCATATCCGACAGAAGCACACGTCAGGCAAACTTCTGGACCAGAAGCCGAACTCGACAATGCACTTATCTGGCGACTGGGTTGGCTTGGTCTCGGTATTGATGGTCGTCTCGAGCTTGACCACGATGCTAATCTTGATAATGATGGTGGTGGGGCGGTGGTGATGATGTTGAACGGCGTACGGCGAGGTAGAAGCGAAGCCAGTGAGGTGGTGTTTTCGTACATCCTGTCCTACCAAACACAACCTCATCGACAGGACAGACATGACAGGAACCGGAGGGCACCTTACGCTCAGTGGCGCACCAGGCAGCTTACACTTGGCCGTGGCGAGCCAAGAGATGTCCAGGTCGACCAAAATGACCCAGGATGTCCTCAGCGGTGATATCCTCTCCGCCATCACCTGTCGAAGCAGGAAATGAACGAGAGGGGGGGTGCGAGGGGGACAGGGGAAAGGATAGACCCCCCCCCCTCGCCCTATTCCCGCACCACGGGTTGGGTTACTTTACGGCCGTGGAGATGTAGTCGTGTTTCAGGCCGATGGTCGATCATTTTCATTGACTATCGATCATGGTTTTCGACGAACAGACGCACAACACACACGTCACGATTTGATGGAGACGACTTCAACACTGGCCCACCACACACTCAATTCTGCTTCAAGACCAATTTCACGCCTTTACGTTCTAAAATCTGCCTTTGATTTGAACAAGCACCTGCACAAGCACACATGTCCCGATTTCAGGGGAACCGCATCAACACACTC